ACTCCTTTTGCATTCAAGCTTTTGCAGATAATCTTCAGAACATCTTTCAGCGTAACGGATTTTCTTCATTGTATTTGTTCTCTACTAAATATGGCCTTCTCCTCCACTTCATTTCTCCAACTTCTGATCTGTTTTTAGTTTGTATTTGTTTTTCTCCATTTCTCTGTCTAGTACAAAGACACCACAATTTAATGCGAATCAGCAGAGAAACTGCTTTTCTCTCATTCATGTGGCATATGACTTAAACAGATTGTAATTCTTGCCTATCCTACCTAATAGGAAAGTTTACATTAAGTATTATTTTTCTCCCTCATCTATGATCCTAAGTTCAGTCCTTGCGTCTTCTGTTTTAAAAGATATGGTAATTTTGAGTACTTCGATGCTGCTTTTTCATTCAGGTTCTCAGTTCTTGATACAGGATGTTCTAGAGATAGTTACTTTATAGATTCAACATTTTCTTCACTCTGTTCACCTTAACTTACACTTCACAGCATGAGTCATCCTGATGGCTTATGTAATTCTCAGTTTATTCTATTGCCTTTCCAGTTGATTACAACACAGATTCTATTTTCACGAAGTCAAGACTATTTCCTCAATCCTCAGTAGCTGTCAACAAGACTTCTCTGCAGAAAACGAACCAGGTGAAGAACATTAGCAATGTTCTATTACATAACTCTGATATAAATCTAATTCCTAGTAGCTAATATTCCATATAAATAGGGATGCTTGCTAAGCCATAAATGTGCATTATTTAAAGTTCTTCAAGCTGAATTTGAAATGTAAGATGCTTTAAGTATTGCCTTATTACTGCTTAGTATTTCATCAATTCATTTTGAAATGACATTTCCTTACGATAATATGAAAACAGTATTCCAGGTCTTATCAATATTCTGTCTTAATACTTAGTTTGGTATATTTCATGTCTAACAATAAATATCAGTTAAGCTTTGAACATACTGAGGACCTCCAAAGGCCTAATTCATTCTTTGGTCTGTTAAGAGTGTATTTAATTACAGCTACTGATAACAGGGAGATGAGACGATTATATCCCCATCGCGACATCCAGGTGCGGCAGAACATTAAGGTAGCCTCAACTTAGCGTAACAGAGTCTCAGGTCTGCCCAAGATCCAGACTTTTCCCACAGTGAACCTGGATTCTCATCCTTCAGTAGCATTTTGTGAGGCTCTGGCTTTTCACCAAGGAAGCACTGGTTTTGCTCTTTCCTTCGCATTATCTGTACTGTATCTCTGCTGCGATTATTTCCATTTTGGGGGGGAACCTGAGCCCCTCAAAGTACTTTTAACATATATTTATCATTATACTAATTTTCAAAGTCCCCAATAATTAATAACTTCTCGTGCCACAAACATTTGATGCAGCCACCTAATTTCAAGGCCAGCAATCCAGACCAAATTTATCTTGTTGCATAGACAAGAATCGGCAGCGACAACTTTAGAGGCTTGTGAGTTAATAAAGCTTTTCTTTTCGCAGAATTTAGGAATTCCCCTATATTTCATTTGGGTTCCCACCTTAACAACGACAATGCCAGTTGCCTGTCTTCTCAAAGTGACTGTCAGTTTGAAAAGGTCACTGCTTGTAAAGCTAAAACTGGCTCTGAGATGGCTCCACCATTTTACAGGCAAGAGTATGCCAGTCCCCCTTCCTTTAAGGGCTTGCTTGGCACATTCTGGTATTAAGATTTGAAGGATCCACTCCTGTCTGCAAGGGAGAAAGCAGATGCCAAGTACCCCGAGGTCATGGCAGGAAGAGGGATGCTCAAGACATTGTTTCCGACATCCAGTATTTGAGAACCTTTCTGTTTTCTACCCGATTGTGCTGTGCTTGGAGAGGAAGAGAGCCAGGGCTAGCAAAAAGAGGACATTCGCTTTTGGGAGGGGAGGTGGTGGGCACACACTGGTTGCCAGAAGCTGGAGGGTATTTCAGAGAACTGATTACTGTGACACTTGGTCTGGGAACATTCCAGTCAATACATTCTGTTTACTAACCTGAAAAACAAAGCAAAATGCCCCAAACCTGCATTATTAGCTTTAAAGAAATATTTTCCAATTTCTTACCTGGATAAGACAAGTATAACCATGCAACAGCACAGAATTAAACACACCACCACACACAACACAAACCAAACAAAACCCCCAGAAAAATACAGCCCTCTTAAAAAGGAATTAAGTACTAGAAATAGACTGAACTTAAAAGGTCTTTCATTTCTAATACCTCATGAAAGATTTTATTCATCTTATCACGCAACGTTACAGACAAATTAACATAAACATATGCGCAAAAGTGCACAATCTATTAATGTTGACAAAGACTGGTCACCAGATCGACTTTATTCTGATTCTAGTTTTGAGCACACAGGTGAACAACAATTACGAAACAATTTTAAGCAAAAAAATATAATTGAGTTTTTACAGGTATTTTAAAATTTCTCCCACTATCATTTTGATAGAAAAAAGACAGGGAACAAAAATCTCTTGCAAATTTATGACTTTGAAAAGATGTTATATCTAAGCAAACCTAGGAAACTATTGCATGGCATTTTACTGTGTACACTTTTTTCCTTTATATCCTTTAAAACTGATATTTAAACTCCCTTTTCTTTTTAAAAAATAGTTTTATAAAAATAAAATACTGTCTTTGTTAAATTTAACTACAGTTTACTTTTCCCAGTGGAATTATATTTCCATTGCAAATATAATTAGCACACAGTAAATGATGCACTTCATGAATACCTGATCGTTTCTATGGACAAGCACCATTTGCTGATACCTGCACTGCAGTCCTGATCCTGTTTCTACTGAAGCCAATGGCAACACTCTCATAAGCTTCAAAAGAAGTTAAAAAAGCTCACTTTATTAACTATTCTGACATAATAAAAACTAACATTAGAGGTTTCGATTCTTTACCGTTCGTTTTATTTTAATTGTCAGAAAAAGCAAATCCCAGATTTAGAATTTTGATTCAAGCAAAGCAAAATACACTACTATCATCTGGTTTTACGTCTAAGCTGACTTGCTTTTCTTTTGCCTACACATAAAAATAAGAATAAGTTTTCATTATTACAGAGCTACTATAAAAACTAAAGCTTATAAATGCTTTTAGCAAGAAACGGCATGCAAGCATTTTGCTTGCCATTCAGGTAATGACTTCAAAGGTAATGTCTTGTTCAAATGTACACTGGCAATTTTTTTCTTAAGATACAAAAAAGTTTGATACGCAAACACTCAGTAAGAGCAAGCCATTGAAGCCAAGTTTTGTTTTTAAATATGCACTTGTCAAATTCAAATTTAAGAAGCTATGGCTATTTCTTTGCATCTAAAAATAACGATAACATTTTTATTCATACAAATATATGGTTTAAACAGCCATCAAAAAATAAAAAAGGGCTAACCATTTCCCACAGCTCAGAAACACAGTCTGGAAGGCTCCGAGTTTGAAACCCCGTACAACCTGACAAGACTGTATTCATCGTCTTGCAGTCAAGGTGGTCAAAAAGTCATTTATATAGTACTGAATGAACAACCTGTGACTGGTCACGCAAGCAGTCCTGCTACCTACAGCTATTTAAATACGCAAATACAAAGGAAATACCTGACTAAATGCTGCTTTAGCATCTCCTGGCAATTAGAAGTCTGGGAATGGCCTCTCACAGTATTTCACCTCAACGGCAAGTCTAATCTACTGCTTCCTCCCTTACAGGCAGGCACACACACACACACACACATGCACCTGAGAAAGGCTGAGTACAGAAGAATAGTTGCACATCTTTGTAAATAGCATCAGAAATCTTGCTACTTTGTAACAATTAATAATCAGGGGCTTTTAAAAAGAATACATTCAGCATATATAGAGAAAAAATAGCAGTGATCCATTACTAACTTAATATTCAGCATTCAAAGCAAGTCAAAACAGAACACCAGTAGCAGCAAGATAACGTAGGGTTTTAAAATATCTTGATATTAGCTAGAACCTTCTATCACCTACACTGGCACTGAATAATTGAAAAAAGTGTGCATTTAAATAGCTTTTTAATTCACAGATGTTAGAACATATGAAGCGCATCTTATTACCCAACTTTTTCAGCAATGTAAAGGCTGCAATAATGTCACCTTAAAACAAATAGCTGTTTTTACTAAAAATCTATAAGCAGTCACTCCAGGTTTTGACATATTATAACAATAAAGAAATGAAGCCAAAATTGCACATGTATAAACCAGCTGATATATGTAAACCTCATATTCAGCTTCTGTTTGCAAACAGATACTTATTCCTTACCTGCCTGCTGGGGAAGAAGAGAAGAAGAACAGTATTGCTAATTAGGCTATCAGGAAACAAGATGTTGCAATACACATGATTTTATTCCGGTCAAAGACAAGCAAGTCTGCTCCCATGATTTTTTTAGTTTCTACTGAGTAAAGCTGAACAGAGACTGAACTTAATTTCCTATCTACTCTTAAATCAAGTTTAGAAATAAGATATATTGCTGTACTATCTGTAGGAAAACAAATGTAAAGAATCCCCCCTGCTCTGCCCTCCCTAGGCAGAACATTGCACCATGGCACTGCTGAAAAGTTTAAACGCTAAAGCAGTTAATAACACAAAGATAACATACATTCGTTTAATGCACATTGGCATCAGCTATACAATCTTAAAAGCATATGTTGAAGGGAAAGCAAAGTGTGGTAAAACCTTCAGGTAGAACAATAAAAGCAGCAAGTGCTTCCCCTCCTCTGAAGTGGAAACATGTTTAACAGTCTACTTAAAACATAATTAAAAAAAAAAAAAAAGAAAAAGAAAAACTAAACACCCACAGAAAAGCAATGACTTTGTCTTGGGCAAAAATGGCCTGCCCTGGAGGCAGGGTGATATTTAAAAATTTATTTCTGATTACAAGTTGCTACTTGATGTAAAAACAGTTTCTTCTTTCGGTTTTAATCAGAGGATTTGTGAGCCTGATAGGGTATGCTACCAGTTTATTTAAACTTTTGCTTTCCTTGCTATTTTTAGCTTGTGGAGGCTGGCACAAAACATTTACTAGAGCTTAATGGCTTGTTCTCTCATTGCTTTTATTACAAACCATTCAAATGGAAAGTTGTTAAGTGTGCAGTTTGAATTCATAGGTGCTTGTTTTCCACTGGTTGACATCTGCATTGATCATGTTGCGCTCTGTGAAAGTAACCCGTCCTTCTGAATCAATGAGGATGACTGTGTTAGTCCTGAAACAACAGAAGGGTAGGGGGTTAAGCCTTGTGCCCGTTATATAAATTTGCAGGGTCCCATCCCTCATCCCCAAGGGTTTTAGCTGATATTTTTTTCTTGACCACATCATCACCACACTAGCAGGGCAGAAATCATCCCGACAAGTTCAAATAGGCCCTTCTCCCGTCACTCCACTGCTCTGATTCCCTGTTGCACTTGCAGCGACTGATACTCGGTTTATAGAGACAGATAGATCAGATTATAGAGTTTATAGAGATATAGATCAGATATAGATAGACATAGATCAGATACTCAGTGGTTTCTTTCTCAGAATACCAATTTAAAAAACTTAAACAGAAGTGAGTGTTCTCTGCTTATCAATTTACATCTCTACAGTGGAAATGCGATGGCTGACTACGCCAGAGACCAATCTGACAAAACTGTTGGCAGTCTTTTAGAGAAGGAATTCCCTACCAACAGCAACAGGGTTCACCTATAATTTTGTCCCATCGAGGATTAAACGCAAGATGCATTGCATTATTCTATTCTTCTTGCATCTTTGGTAGAACAGTCTGAGCAGAAAGTGAGAATACCTCAGTAAGAGCAGCAGCATCAGTTAGGGGAGAAGGGGAAATACCTGTTCTTTTGAACAAGAGTAATAGGTTTTTAATGTATGAAAATAGCAGCTACATATTACAATGGCATGCCTAAAGAAACCTCTAACTAGCTATACAGACTAAACTATTCTTGCTCTTGGAAGAGAAATACGTTCTGCAGTTCCTCAGATATACAAGATAATTGGGGTTTTCTGCTAAAAACACGATTTCAAAGCTTTTCATGTTTTGATAAGATCAAAATTGGAGGTGGTCAGATCTGCTACTACGCTGGGGAACCAGGAGAACTGTACTATCTTGTCTTGGACGAACTGAAGCTGTGTCACACTCCCCACCAAAGATGAACCATAATGTGTGCTTAAAATGCTCATCAGGAGCAAGTCTAAGACATCAGAATACTGAGCAAGGAAATGCCGAGCAAGGAAATACTTTACCCAATTACACTTGATTAATATCTGAACAAATTTAAAGTAGTCACTACAGAGTTAAAACTGACAGCAGCATAATTTTGGTTTGAGATGTGCTTTGATCCAGTACACATCTATTTCCAACTATGAATTTTTTACCTGGTTCCATAACCTGGGCAACGAACACATACAGCTGCATACTTGTTCAACATAGGGCGTATATAATCCTTCCCTTGGTCTTCAATCGCAGGGTCTGGTAATTGACTGAAAAAAAGTAGTAAAGTAATTAAAAAAAAATTAATTCTCCAATATTAACACATTCATTCCTCTTGAACCAAGCTGTGTTGACCAAGTGGTTGATAAATAACAATCACTTTTCAAAAAGTACAAAAGTGTGAATTGTGTTTAAAACTAAAGTACGAGGAAAACCAAAGATAAAACAGCTTGTAAGCTCTTTCCCATAGAAATTCTTCCAAGGCCTTGAACTTTTGTCTCACTTTTTCATATCTTGACAAGTTTCTCACTTTCCTTGTTATTCTTTGTCTGTCTTTCCGTATTTTAGTTTCAATTAAAACCTTAATGATCAAGTAATTTGAGGCACATCAATAAACCAGCATTTTTCCAGTTAGAATCCAGGAGTTCTTTTTGTGTCGAAGACGGACCTTTCTGCTTCCTTTGATCTTGCTTGGAATACCTGGAAAATACCTAGGACAATCCTTAAAATAAAATTTGTGAAGATGCAGCAGAGGACAAGGTGAGCTTGTGCCCAAATTTTTGACATATATTCCTATCGAAGCTTCAAAGATGTTTAGAAACATAATTTTATTATAAAGCACATCAAGCTTCATTTGTTGTAATTAAACAAGTATCAGCATCTCACAGAAGAGATGCTAAGGTCACAACGGTTACTGCAGCAACCCTACATCCCTGGCTTTCCATTCAGGTCACCAGAACATATTCTCAAATGCTAGCCGTAAATACAGCTTCCTATTTCAATAATTAAAGATTCAAATTTTTTTTAATCAAAGTCCAATTTAACTATTATAGCAGCAGGTTTTTGTGTTTGATTTTCCAGCTTCTTCCATCTTCAAGAAATAACCCCATTTCTGCCTCCTAGCACAGACCCAGTAGTACCTATAAAATAATAACAATTCAGCAGCCTATCGGCTGTACAGTGAATGTTGGGGAAGAGGGCAGAACAGACTGATGAATTCAGCCCCATTTTCAGAGCTCATCCTGATCTGCAGAGGAGACTGTGCAATTTGTTATACTGTAACTGACCTTTACATCTAACTGGGATCATTTTCTTTGTTGTTGTGGTGGTGAAGAGGACCTGTGGGCGTTTCAGGGAGAAGCAAGAATAGGCGCAATTCTAGTGTGAATAGAGCAACTAAGCTCTTCTCGCTCCTGTACTGGGCACGTGGCTGGAGCATACCACGACGTAACAGAGAAGGCACATAGCAGGGCGCTTCAGCCCCTGAGAACAGGCTTCTATCCCATACTCCACCACCAACCATTGGACCCACTTAATTCCTGTAACGCACACAAAGCGATCATAAAGTAATACACAATAAGATATTTTAAGAAAGTTCAAAGCTAGTGCGTATCCATGTGTTCATATTTATTATGAAAAGATCATTTCATCTTGAAGTGTGCTTTGGAAAGATTACAGTCTTAGTTTTAAATATTGCTTTTTGTAAGTAAATATTTCCATTTTATAGTCAGATGATTTCAGATGAGATCATACTGAATTACTGAACATTAAGGGAAGATCATTTGGACTGTATTGTCTTATACCTTTGTCTTTTTACTAGTAAAAAGTAAAGTATAACAATTTTTTGAAAAATCACTTGATCTGATATCAGATGAAAAAAGTAATTAAGACAGCTTAGCAGACTGCCCAATTACTCCTCATTGCTCAGATGTCTGACTTCTTACGTAAACATTTATTTTGACCCACTGAAAAATGCCACAGACATGAATGTTGGCATTAAAACTGACTGATAAATTTAGGAAACTGGATCTGTATACCAGAAACAGCGTTGCTTCAAAACAAATCACTCCCTAGACAGGTAAAAATCAGGCTAAACACAAAAGTTACTGGACAGTGAGCAATGACATCAATTTAGACCACAGCACCTCCTTTACCCTGCTCCACGTCTGGGCATTTAAATGCCATCAATTTCCTTTACTTGTAAACACCTAGCTTACGGGCTCAGGTCCGCTGTGTAGCCAGCAGTGAGCGCAGGAACCTTACTTCGATACTCAAACTCATCTCTTGGGAACTTCCTTAACCAGAGGACTGTGCAAATACTCCCGTATCCCCTCCCCCTCTAAAATAATTGCACTTTTGAGGAAAGCAGCTGGTTCTACTTCAAAAATAGCTTGCTTCTCCACCCTCTGTGTCTGCTCTGGGTAGCAATACAGACTAGCGAGCAGCTACTAACACAAACCTGCTCATATAAACAAGTGCTTACTCGTGTGCAGTAAGAAACTGAACCTTACCCTACAGAGAGCTGCCACAAAGCTTACAGCAAGCAACTTGCACATCCCTTGTCTTGCACTCATTACCCTTACTAAGAGAAGCGCAGTCTTTAAAAGAAAAGGGCACAGAGAAATCAGCGTACAGTCTATGAGTACTAAGACTGCAGTAATAACGTTTACTGTGTCTGCTGCTTAAAAATCAATATTGTTGAAAGTCAGTCTCTGTGGAGAGAAAGAACACTACTTTTGCCTTTCACCACCCAGCTTTAGTCAATTAATATACGGCAGAAGTTTCTTTTCTGTCAAAATAGTTTCTACATGAAATTTTTAAGCTGGTCATGTCGCGTTTTGAGGAAACTCTGGCTATCGTGTTCTTACGGCTCTTGATTATTCATCACTCTAAGAAGCTCCTGCACCAAGTCTTCTTTGGTAAGGTCTTGACTTCTCTTGACCACTTCTGTGAAAAGCTGCTTCCCATACTGAAGTTTCTTCCACGGTGTATCCAACAAAGAATTACTCAATCCATATATTCCTATGCATAAAAAAAAGCCCAAAGAACTTATTAAGCTCTGGAGCACAGAAAATGAAATTATGTACTATACAAAAAATAACTTCATAATTACCTTATCCCACACAGTCTGAGGGACAGAAACAAATGCTATCAGCAAATTCATCATGAATCTCTTATGATAATTTGCTCATTCATCCTATTGCCATTTTTCATTTTGCTTCAAAAATAAGTGAGGTCATTAAACTACGTATCAAAGGTGCATATCGTGATAAATTAAATGCAACACTCCTTCAGATAGCAAGAGTGAGTCTCCTAGGTGTGTAACTCATAATAAAATAACCTAACCATTTCTCAGCACCTCTTCTGGAGCACTACTTCTGACTGTTTTATTAGGGGGAAAAACCCAAAAAAACAACACATAACCACAAAATCCCCCAAAGCAATGCTGCTCTGAAGTGGGTGTTTTAAGTTTACTAAAATTAGCTGAATGTGAGATTTCTCAGCACTGTTATTAACACAATGTGCACTGTGGTGTGAAATCAGGTGAAATATCAAAGCCTTTTTTTGCCTCCAGAACACAACACTAATAGAAACATTAGGGTATCACATAGCCTAAGCACAAAATAACTCATAATCACGATATTGTTGAGTTTATTTCTGTAAAGCAACTTTAATCCTTCAAGCTTTACATGTCATGAAATTAATGACATCTGTAATAAGGAGGTTATGTAGCAAGTTTAAGATTTAAAAGCAGTAACAATCAAGTTAGTCCACAGTCCCTGTGGACCACTTTTAGCTGCATGGTATCTACATACTTACCAACTAATGTTTGAGGGAGGGACGGGCAGGCATCGATTTAATTGGAAAGGGTATTCTGCTGATTCACAGTTGTCATTACAGGTTTCACAAATCTGAATACAATTTAAGTGATTCCCGAGCTAATCTTTACCTGCAGGCGCACTATAGAACACACTCCCCGTTCCTAAACAGGAGACTACAGCAGGCATGCATCTTACACTAGGCTGTGCTTAAGCACTCACAGTTTTACTCTAATCCATATTTGCAGCAGTTACTTTTAACCTCTGGTTTGCTAAATTATGAAAAAGGTAGAACACAATTATACCATTTTTGCAGTCTAGTCTTTTCCAGTTTAGCTATATTAATCGTAATTTACTTGTGCCTCTGATTTTACTCTTGAAAAACACAGCAAAGAACATTTGATGGCAAGAAGGATCTTTCTCTTTAGAGGTATCCTATAGTTCTCACCACAATCCAAACGAATAAGCACAAAGATTACCAAACCTTGGCTCTCCCTAAAGGCAGCCACGTCCATAGAAAAGGAATCTGTTGTTGAAGCAGGGAGACCACAACTACTTTTGCCACAGTCTGCAGATACCTAAGATTTGGGACTCAGTTTCTCCTTACAACAAGTAGGCAGATTTTTTTTTTTTTTTAATGTTTGCATTAAAACCCGTTTTGTGCTTTTAGCTGTACAAAATCCAACAGCTGTTTCCAAGAGTTTGTGCTGTAATTGCTACAGTAACTATTTGCCTACTGGCAGCAACGTTTTGACCATTAACCTAAGCAGGCAAAATAAGCCACCGTCATTAACTGCTATCAGCCAGCTACACTGCTCAGAGCCTTCCATGTGTCCTTGTCCATTTAAACTGGCTTTCTGGTGATGAATTCTGGAGTATTGTTCTATGTAGCTGGCTGGATTTTAGGTATTTTAAATCAATCCACCTGATAAGACAGATAAAAGTGGGGGTTTGGGTGGGGTTTTTTGGTTGTTGTTGGTTTTTTTTTGTTTTTGTTTTAAAGCCAGCTCTGTCCCTAGGGGAGCACAGTCACACTATGCCCTTAACCCTGCTGGGTAAGGAGAGTCAGGGTCAAGTCCATGAACCTTTAAAGACTCCATTCCTCAAGACAGAGTCCTGTCCTTCAGCCGTGGTTACCAAAGGAGCATCCCACTCATCGCCGTGCAGGTGGCTGCACTGACATGGACAGAAGCTTTTAATGAACCAGTGATTCTTTACTGAAATTTACTAGCAAACACTCAAATGAATTTAAGGACTTTTTTTTTTTTTTTAAAGAATGCAAGAAAAAAAAAACACTTAGTGAAGACAATGCCTAAATAGCTAAATTACTAGAGCAATACAGCTACATTCTGACTCCTTTAAAATAACAAACAGTAATATTCAGACCTTTCTGAAGAAAACCTACCAGGATTTAGGAAAACAGGTTCTGGTTCTCCTTTGTTTCCATAGTAGCAAATTACATCTCCTTTGGTGGTACTGAAAAATATAAATAAGAATTCCTCCTTGAAAAACCATCAGCTTCTATATTTGATTATGCTCTAATTTCATGCAATCTTCAAACCCAGCAAGATGTTTCTCCCACTGTTACTACTATGATACCGCAGCCCAGAGATTAATTGATGAGTTCTATTACTCTCCTTCTCTCAAAATACTGTATTAGCTGTACCACTGTCAAATAGCACCATTATAATTTTTAAATATAACTGTAATAAAATTCAGCAAAACCCCAGAACTGCTGCATGGAAAGCAGCCAGGCTTAATGACAAAAGCCTGTATGGTTTTGAAGAGTTAGTTACTGGGGGGAAGGGGGCACGTCAAAACGAAATGACAGTCCATCAGAGCAAGTAACATTTTCCCATCATCTCTTTTGGATCGCTACTGCATTCTAAGAGGCTGACTACCGCAGCCCGGTTTATCTGGCAGAAGTAAATTTTTAGGCCCACTTATGGCAATGTTGCAGGGCATAGCTAGGTGCTTTAAGTGATAGATATGCATTTTCAGGCGGTTTTCAGATACTTGTAGTTACTGTTTGCAAGCTCTCTCTGTAATTGTAGGCACTGGCTTCAGCACTTGCTCTGTTTTCT